ACCAATAATCCTTTTTTCATATTACCACCATACAACTACTTTTAATATAATTTAAAATCTTTTTCCTCACCAACTCTTTAATTTTCCTCTTATTCCTTATTTATCTTTACTTATTCCTTATACTTATCTTATTCTTTTTCCATCTACTTTTAACAAATCTTCCATCCTTTTACTCTTCCTCCTCCTTAACATACTCACTCAATCAATCAAAATACACAATGTTTAGTATGAGCATATTTCCAACTGTAACTAGGCCGAGTAGGGTAACAAATCATAGTGCGACCCTCATCGATAATATATTCACTAATAATGTAAGGAGCAATACACTCAGTGGGCTGATGATCTGTGATGTAACTGACCACCTACCAGTTTTCTTACTGTATGATAGAGATAATAAAAATAGTAATGTTGATAATGACAATACAGATAAACACTTATACAGACGATTAAAGAATGAGGATTCTATCTTGTCGCTGAAAGCTGATCTGCATGCGCAGGACTGGGGCTCGGTGTATAGAGCGATAGATGTTGACACAGCATTTAATCATTTTCTGGATATCTTTATGAATTTGTACAACAAAAACTGTCCAGTAAAGCGACATATTCCTAATCATAAATTTGTAAAATGCCCATGGATGACTAAGGGCTTACAAAATGCATGTGAAAAAAAGAATAATCTGTATAAGAAATGGGTTAAACTACAAACAAAAGAATCTGAAGATAGGTACAAAACATATAAAAATAAGTTGACTAGTATAATCAGATATAGTAAGAAAGCTTTCTATAAAAGACTCTTGGAATTGAATAAAAATAACACAAGGAATATTTGGAGAATATTAAATGGAGTAATAAAGAATGATACAAAAAAAATAGTGTATCCAAAGTATTTCATAGATGGGAATGAAGAATGTAATGATTTAAACAAGGTTGCTAACAGCTTCAATAAATTCTTTATTAACGTTGGCCCAGATCTGGCATCAAAAATCTCAGATTCAGGCCATGTTGACCAGTTACTTGACAGAAATCTAAAATCATTCTTTCTTGCTCCAGTAGATGATACAGAGTTACTATCAGTTGTAATGGGTTTCAAAAACAAATCTTCTTTAGACTGTTTTGACATTGATATGGCACTAGTAAAAAAGGTTATACACAGTATTCTCAAGCCTCTTGTATATATCTGCAACTTGTCCTTTTTATCCGGTAAATTTCCAAACAAAATTAAAATTGCAAAGGTTCTTCCATTATATAAAAATGGGGACAAGCACATTTTTACAAATTATAGACCAGTTTCTCTGCTTCCGCAATTTTCAAAAATTCTTGAAAAATTATATGATAACAGATTAGAGTGCTTTATAGAAAAATGTGACATATTAAATCAGGGACAATATGGATTTCGCAGAAAGAGATCAACAACCATAGCAATTATTGAAGCTGTGGAAGAGATTAACAATGCATTAGACAAAAAAAAGTATGCAATGGGCATATTTATTGATTTAAAGAAAGCTTTTGACACAATTAATCATTCTCTATTGTTAAAAAAACTGGAAACATACGGAATTAGGGGAGTTGCTCTTAACTGGATGCAAAGCTATTTGTTGGAGAGAATGCAATTTGTAAAAATGGGCGAGCAAACATCGAGCTGTTTGGAAATTTCTTGTGGAGTGCCTCAAGGTTCAATTTTGGGTCCAAAATTATTTAACTTGTATATAAATGATATATTTAGGAATTCAAAATTGTTGAAAATGATTCTTTTTGCAGATGATACAAACATGTTTTATTCACATGAGAACTATGGCGAACTAATTCGGACTATTAATGAAGAGCTAGAAAAAGTGAAACATTGGATGGACAAGAACAAACTCTCCTTAAATCTAAAAAAAACTAAAGCCATATAGCGATTTGGAAATCGTAAAGTAGATAAACAAAGACCTGAAATACGGCTAAACATTGATGGAGTACACATTGAAACAGTATCTGAATATACATTTTTAGGGGTGACAATAGACGACAAGCTGTCATGGAAACCACACATAAGACTAACACAGTCAAAAGTAGCAAAAAGTGTTGCAGTTATTAACAAAGTAAAACATGTTCTGGATTTTGATGCTCTCCGCTTACTGTACCACTCACTAATACTACCTTTCTTAACGTATTGTATAGAAATATGGGGCAATAACTATAAAAGTTCTTTGTATTCCCTCTTTATATTACAGAAGCGTGCGGTAAGAACTATACACAAAGTCGGATATTTTGACCACACAAACTTTCTATTTTTAAAATCTGGAATTCTGAAACTCCCCGATTTGGTGACACTACATACAGCTCTTCTGTTATATAAAGCAAATAATAATATGTTACCAGGCAATATACAGAAACTTTTTTGTGAGAATGAAGGAAAGTATAATCTAAGGAGAGGTGGTAAATTCAAAGTCCCGCTGGTGGGATCTACGAGGAAAAGTTGGTGCGTGTCAGTGTGCGGAGTCAAACTCTGGAACAGCCTGGAAAATCATGTAAAAGAATGCAGAACTATGTACATGTTTAAAAAGAAATACAAAGAATGTTTGATATCTAAGTATGAAAATGAGGAGGTGTAAAAGGTGTATAGTGAGAGGATCCAAAAGAAAAAGTAACTTATTTGATCATTCATTAGGAAATCTAACACTATATATGAAGGTGCTATCTTCATTTGTGTGTATTTGGGTGTATTTGTAGTATGTGTATTTGTAATATGTATTTATAGAACATATGTGTATACATGCCTCATGTACTGTGTATATGCACTGTGTATATATAGGTATGTATGTAATGTTTAGGTATGTCTGCGAGCATATGGTATATGTGAGTATATATATCTATATAGGAATATGTATATTGTATCTTAAATGTCTTTTTTCTGAAAATAACTATGAAATGGTGTTGTGAAGGTTCACTGAAGGAGCTGGTGGCATAGTGGTGTGCGATGACGGCATGGTGACGGAGGTGTGGTGGCTCTTGCTGGTCCAGGATGCGGAGGGGCACTGGCGTGGTGACGGCCTGGTGATGTGGTAGGGCTTACATGCAGGTGTCACTGTCTTCTCCCACTACACACTGCCACGAATGGATATGATTTGTATATGTTAGTAGTTTGAATATAAACACTAATGCTATCAATTTGACCAAGTGAAAATACTCCATTGTCTGGTAAAAGGGAAAAATGAAATAATAGTAATAATGATTATAATAATTAAAATAAAATAATGATAATAATAATAATAATAATAATAATAATAATAATAATAACAAAAAGAGGAATATAAATAAATAAATAAAACAAATGAAGTCGGCTGAACGTGGCCTGAGACCGGTGGGAGAGGGTGTGTGCAGTTCTGGCTCGATGCCTTGGTGCGTTGCTGGTTGTTGCTGCTCTGGTGCCTGCTGTGACGGGATTGGCTGGGGTCACTGTGCTGCTTGTTGCCGTGTTGTTATGCATGACTTTGCTACTGGCTCCGGACACACAGGGGTAAGTGTGATGTGCACAGGGGTGGGAACTTATAAGATTTTTTTCTTCCTCCCACTCCTTTTCGAGTTTGAATGATGTCAATATTGTATCTGTAAATGGTTGATTTGATGTACATGAACTCGAAATAAATAAACACTCAACTCAACTCAACTCAACAGCAGTATGTGTTCACGGGGGTGACTTTATATAACAGTAGTATGTGTTCACGGGGGTGACTTTATATAACAGTAGTATGTGTTCACGGAGGTGACTTTATATAACAGCAGTATGTGTTCACGGAGGTGACTTTATATAACAGCAGTATGTGTTCACGGAGGTGACTTTATATAACAGCAGTATGTGTTCACGGAGGTGACTTTATATAACAGCAGTATGTGTTCACGGAGGTGACTTTATATAACAGCAGTATGTGTTCACGGAGGTGACTTTATATAACAGCAGTATGTGTTCACGGAGGTGACTTTATATAACAGCAGTATGTGTTCACAGAGGTGCGTAATACGTTTATTTTATTATTAAGCTGTATTTCCGCATCGGCGAACACACTGGAAGCAGTTGCATAAAGTCACGGGAGCATGAAAACACGTATGTTCACAAGAACTATATCCCCCATTGTCAACCCTGGTTTAGTCCTGGTTTAGTCCTGGTTTAGTCCTGGTTTAGTTCCGATGTAGCTCCTGTTTTGGCTGTATACGAGTACTTTCAGTTCGCTATTGTCCCCGTGACCACTTTGTGGCTCTCTGATTGGTTGCTGCACGAACGTCCCGACTCCCGAGGAAAGGTTGAGCAAAATCCATCTCCTGCGTTCCTCCCCTTCGACTTCCCAGAGCAGTCCGTGCGTCTCTACAGAGCAGTCCGTGCGTCTCTACAGAGCAGTCCGTGCGTCTCTACAGAACAGTCCGTGCGTCTCTACAGAGCAGTCCGTGCGTCTCTACAGAACAGTCCGTGCGTCTCTACAGAACAGTCCGTGCGTCTCTACAGAGCAGTCCGTGCGTCTCTACAGAGCAGTCCGTGCGTCTCTACAGAACAGTCCGTGCGTCTCTACAGAACAGTCCGTGCGTCTCTACAGAGCAGTCCGTGCGTCTCTACAGAGCAGTCCGTGCGTCTCTACAGAGCAGTCCGTGCGTCTCTACAGAGCAGTCCGTGCGTCTCTACAGAGCAGTCCGTGCGTCTCTACAGAGCAGTCCGTGCGTCTCTACAGAACAGTCCGTGCGTCTCTACTGAGCAGTCCGTGCGTGCATTCAGAGATGTTAGTGTGTTGTGACGCACCCTTCACTTTGCATTGAAAGCCGACGCAGCATGATCCGGTCTGAACACGGCATAACACAGACACCATGACACAGACACCATGACACAGACAACATGAGACAGACACCATGGGACAGACACCATGAGACAGACACCATGAGATAGACACCATGGCACACACATCATGAGACAGTCACCATGAGACAGATGATAGAAAGTATCTACAGTATCTATCTGTCTATCAAACTAGTAATCAGGCTCTGATGGTCGCTCTTACCAGGATGCTGTTGCCGTGGGAACGCAGTGTGGCCCCAAACCACTGATGAGACTTGAATTCGACCTGAGTCAACTCCTCGTTGATGTAGAAACGGCGATCACCTGGAACAGCAGAGGGACGTCAGCTGGTTTCATGGTTCTGACCTGAGCCTTGATGGTGCAGACCCACACACTGACGGGTTCAAGGGTTTTATGGTCTTAATCCGTCCTCAGTCACAGCAGAGACTTCAAAGGAACTGATTCTGTGATGTCACACGTCTCTGTCGGGATCTGCTTTAAGAACGAACTACACAGAGCTGGAGTTCAAATGTTTCTGTTTACTGCCTCAGTCCTGGGTCTACAGCCTCAGTCCTGGGTCTACAGCCTCAGTCCTGGGTCTACAGCCTCAGTCCTGGGTCTACTGCCTCAGTCCTGGGTCTACAGCCTCAGTCCTGGGTCTACAGCCTCAGTCCTGGGTCTACAGCCTCAGTCCTGGGTCTACTGCCTCAGTCCTGGGTCTACTGCCTCAGTCCTGGGTCTACAGCCTCAGTTCTGAATCTACAGCCTTAGTCCTGGGTCTACAGCCTCAGTCCTGGGTCTACAGCCTCAGTCCTGGGTCTACAGCCTCAGTCCTGGGTCTACAGCCTCAGTTCTGGATCTACAGCCTCAGTTCTGGATCTACAGCCTCAGTCCTGGGTCTACAGCCTCAGTCCTGGATCTACAGCCTCAGTCCTGGATCCACAGCCTCAGTCCTGGGTCTACAGCCTCAGTCCTGGGTCTACAGCCTCAGTCCTGGGTCTACAGCCTCAGTCCTGGATCTACAGCCTCAGTCCTGGATCTACAGCCTCAGTCCTGGATCTACAGCCTCAGTCCTGGATCTACAGCCTCAGTCCTGGATCTACAGCCTCAGTCCTGGATCTACAGCCTCAGTTTTGCGTCAGTGAGATATTCTTCAGACTTTTGAACAGTGATGTTAAACCACAGACTGTATATCAGTAGAGGACTCTGGACACGCTTCACAAGAAGAGGGACACCAGGAGAGACACACCATGAGAGAGACACCATGAGAGAGACACCAGGAGAGAGACACGGCCAGACGTCTGCCTCCGCTCTGGCTTCATGCAGTCTGTGTCCTCAAAAAACAGCAGCTCACAGGAAGTGGACAAGTGAAGAAAAACACCATGAGAGAGACACCAGGAGAAGTGGACCAGTGAAGAAAAACACCATGAGAGAGACACCAGGAGAAGTGGACCAGTGAAGAAAAACACCATGAGAGAGACACTAGGAGAAGTGGACCAGTGAAGAAAAACACCATGAGAGAGACACCAGGAGAAGTGGACCAGTGAAGAAAAACACCATGAGAGAGACACTAGGAGAAGTGGACCAGTGAAGAAAAACACCATGAGAGAGACACTAGGAGAAGTGGACCAGTGAAGAAAAACACCATGAGAGAGACACCAGGAGAAGTGGACCAGTGAAGAAAAACACCATGAGAGAGACACTAGGAGAAGTGGACCAGTGAAGAAAAACACCATGAGAGAGACACCAGGAGAAGTGGACCAGTGAAGAAAAACACCATGAGAGAGACACTAGGAGAAGTGGACCAGTGAAGAAAAACACCATGAGAGAGACACTAGGAGAAGTGGACCAGTGAAGAAAAACACCATGAGAGAGACACCAGGAGAAGTGGACCAGTGAAGAAAAACACCATGAGAGAGACACCAGGAGAAGTGGACCAGTGAAGAAAAACACCATGAGAGAGACACCAGGAGAAGTGGACCAGTGAAGAAAAACACCATGAGAGAGACACTAGGAGAAGTGGACCAGTGAAGAAAAACACCATGAGAGAGACACCAGGAGAAGTGGACCAGTGAAGAAAAACACCAGGACACAGACACCAGGAGAAGTGGACCAGTGAAGAAAAACACCATGAGAGAGACACCAGGAGAATTGGACCAGTGAAGAAAAACACCATGAGAGAGACACCAGGAGAAGTGGACCAGTGAAGAAAAACACCAGGACACAGACACCAGGAGAAGTGGACCAGTGAAGAAAAACACCAGGACACAGACACCAGGAGAAGTGGACCAGTGAAGAAAAACACCATGAGAGAGACACCAGGAGAATTGGACCAGTGAAGAAAAACACCATGATAGAGACATCAGGAGAAGTGGACCAGTGAAGAAAAACACCATGAGAGAGACACCAGGAGAATTGGACCAGTGAAGAAAAACACCATGATAGAGACACCAGGAGAAGTGGACCAGTGAAGAAAAACACCATGAGAGAGACACCAGGAGAAGTGGACCAGTGAAGAAAAACACCAGGACACAGACACCAGGAGAAGTGGACCAGTGAAGAAAAACACCAGGACACAGACACCAGGAGAAGTGGACCAGTGAAGAAAAACACCAGGACACAGACACCAGGAGAAGTGGACCAGTGAAGAAAAACACCAGGACACAGACACCAGGAGAAGTGGACCAGTGAAGAAAAACACCAGGACACAGACACCAGGAGAAGTGGACCAGTGAAGAAAAACACCATGAGAGAGACACCAGGAGAAGTGGACCAGTGAAGAAAAACACCATGAGAGAGACACTAGGAGAAGTGGACCAGTGAAGAAAAACACCATGAGAGAGACACCAGGAGAAGTGGACCAGTGAAGAAAAACACCATGAGAGAGACACCAGGAGAATTGGACCAGTGAAGAAAAACACCAGGACACAGACACCAGGAGAAGTGGACCAGTGAAGAAAAACACCAGGACACAGACACCAGGAGAAGTGGACCAGTGAAGAAAAACACCAGGACACAGACACCAGGAGAAGTGGACCAGTGAAGAAAAACACCATGAGAGAGACACCAGGAGAATTGGACCAGTGAAGAAAAAACACCATGATAGAGACATCAGGAGAAGTGGACCAGTGAAGAAAAACACCATGAGAGAGACACCAGGAGAATTGGACCAGTGAAGAAAAACACCATGATAGAGACACCAGGAGAAGTGGACCAGTGAAGAAAAACACCATGAGAGAGACACCAGGAGAAGTGGACCAGTGAAGAAAAACACCAGGACACAGACACCAGGAGAAGTGGACCAGTGAAGAAAAACACCAGGACACAGACACCAGGAGAAGTGGACCAGTGAAGAAAAACACCAGGACACAGACACCAGGAGAAGTGGACCAGTGAAGAAAAACACCATGAGAGAGACACCAGGAGAATTGGACCAGTGAAGAAAAACACCATGATAGAGACATCAGGAGAAGTGGACCAGTGAAGAAAAACACCATGAGAGAGACACCAGGAGAATTGGACCAGTGAAGAAAAACACCATGATAGAGACACCAGGAGAAGTGGACCAGTGAAGAAAAACACCAGGACACAGACACCAGGAGAAGTGGACCAGTGAAGAAAAACACCAGGACACAGACACCAGGAGAAGTGGACCAGTGAAGAAAAACACCAGGACACAGACACCAGGAGAAGTGGACCAGTGAAGAAAAAACACCAGGACACAGACACCAGGAGAAGTGGACCAGTGAAGAAAAACACCATGAGAGAGACACCAGGAGAAGTGGACCAGTGAAGAAAAAACACCATGAGAGAGACACTAGGAGAAGTGGACCAGTGAAGAAAAACACCATGAGAGAGACACCAGGAGAAGTGGACCAGTGAAGAAAAACACCATGAGAGAGACACCAGGAGAATTGGACCAGTGAAGAAAAACACCAGGACACAGACACCAGGAGAAGTGGACCAGTGAAGAAAAACAACCAGACACAGACACCAGGAGAAGTGGACCAGTGAAGAAAAACACCAGGACACAGACACCAGGAGAAGTGGACCAGTGAAGAAAAACACCATGAGAGAGACACCAGGAGAAGTGGACCAGTGAAGAAAAACTGAAGAGACCAGAGAAGTGGACCAGTGAAGAAAAACACCATGAGAGAGTGACACCAGGAGAAGTGGACCAGTGAAGAAAAACACCATGAGAGAGACACAGGGAAGTGGACCAGTGAAGAAAAACACCAGACACAGAGAAGTGGACCAGTGAAGAAAACACCATGAGAGAGACACCAGGAGAAGTGGACCAGTGAAGAAAAACACCATGAGAGAGACACCAGGAGAATTGGACCAGTGAAGAAAAACACCAGGACACAGACACCAGGAGAAGGTGGACCAGTGAAGAAAAACACCAGGACACAGACACCAGGAGAAGTGGACCAGTGAAGAAAAACACCATGAGAGAGACACCAGGAGAATTGGACCAGTGAAGAAAAACACCATGATAGAGACATCAGGAGAAGTGGACCAGTGAAGAAAAAACACCATGAGAGAGACACCAGGAGAATTGGACCAGTGAAGAAAAACACCATGATAGAGACACCAGGAGAAGTGGACCAGTGAAGAAAAACACCATGAGAGAGACACCAGGAGAAGTGGACCAGTGAAGAAAAACACCAGGACACAGACACCAGGAGAAGTGGACCAGTGAAGAAAAACACCAGGACACAGACACCAGGAGAAGTGGACCAGTGAAGAAAAACACCAGGACACAGACACCAGGAGAAGTGGACCAGTGAAGAAAAACACCAGGACACAGACACCAGGAGAAGTGGACCAGTGAAGAAAAACACCAGGACACAGACACCAGGAGAAGTGGACCAGTGAAGAAAAACACCATGAGAGAGACACCAGGAGAAGTGGACCAGTGAAGAAAAACACCATGAGAGAGACACTAGGAGAAGTGGACCAGTGAAGAAAAACACCATGAGAGAGACACCAGGAGAAGTGGACCAGTGAAGAAAAACACCATGAGAGAGACACCAGGAGAATTGGACCAGTGAAGAAAAACACCAGGACACAGACACCAGGAGAAGTGGACCAGTGAAGAAAAACACCAGGACACAGACACCAGGAGAAGTGGACCAGTGAAGAAAAACACCAGGACACAGACACCAGGAGAAGTGGACCAGTGAAGAAAAACACCATGAGAGAGACACCAGGAGAATTGGACCAGTGAAGAAAAACACCATGATAGAGACATCAGGAGAAGTGGACCAGTGAAGAAAAACACCAGGACACAGACACCAGGAGAAGTGGACCAGTGAAGAAAAACACCATGAGAGAGACACCAGGAGAAGTGGACCAGTGAAGAAAAACACCAGGACACAGACACCAGGAGAAGTGGACCAGTGAAGAAAAACACCAGGACACAGACACCAGGAGAAGTGGACCAGTGAAGAAAAACACCAGGACACAGACACCAGGAGAAGTGGACCAGTGAAGAAAAACACCATGAGAGAGACACCAGGAGAAGTGGACCAGTGAAGAAAAACATGCAGTAGCAGAAACTTTAGGGTACATTTTCTTTTCCCTGAGGTTGAGAATAGCGCAGCGCTGTGTGTTTACGGAGCCCCGGCCGCTCCAGCCCCCGCTCCTCAAAGCTCTTATCACTTCCTGTGTGTTTGATGACTTGATTATTTTTCGGGCCTTGTCCTCCCTTAATGACTGCAATTAAACAACGGCTACAACAGCGGAGCCAAGTCCAGCACACTGCAAAAAAATTGTCAAATATGAGGGAGTAAATGCTTGGAACTAATTGTTTTTATTCTAATTTGAGTTAATTTTTCTTTCTTTTCTACAGAGCTTTGATTTCCTGCACTGTAAAAAGAGGAAATTATCAATAAGTCTGAAATGTAATACTTTCTGAGGGTCTTAAACAAGATTCTCCAACAGGACAAAGTCATTTAGGCTTAGTTCAAGAACTGTTGCTTTATTTTCTCGTTCCAAGGGAGACTTTTCTTGTATCTTTTTAAAACAAGATCATTTTACTTTGTCCCATTTGGGAATCTTGTTTTAAAGGCTCAAAATGTGCTCAAAATGTGCTCAAATTTGGGCGATTTTTGACATATTTTTCATCCCTTTTTGCAGTGCAGAAAATCAAAGCTCTGTGGAAAAGTGTGCAGCATGACAGATGCCATGCCCAAAACAAGCCAGAAAGAGAAGAGAGAGAGAGAGATAGGAGGGAGAAGAGAGGGAGAGGAGGGAGAGGAGAAGAGAGAGGAGAGAGAAGAGAGAGAGAGAGAAGAGGGAGGGAGAGAGAGGAGAGAGAGAGGAGGGAGAGGAGAAGAGAGAGGAGAGAGAGAGGAGGGAGAGGAGAGAGAGAGGAGAAGAGAGAGGAGAGAGAGGAGGGAGAGGAGAGAGAGAGGAGAGAGAGAGAGGAGGGAGAGAGAGGAGGGAGAGAGAGGAGAGAGAGAGAGGAGGGAGAGAGAGGAGAAGAGAGAGGAGAGAGAGAGAGGAGGGAGAGGAGAGAGAGGAGAGAGAGAGAAGAGGGAGGGAGAGAGAGGAGAGAGAGAGGAGGGAGAGGAGAGGAGAGAGAGAGAGAGAGAGAGGAGGGAGAGGAGAGAGAGAGGAGAAGAGAGAGAGAGAGAGAGAGAGGAGGAGAGAGAGAGAGAGAGAGGAGAGAGAGAGAGGAGGAGAGAGAGAGGAGGGAGAGAGAGGAGAGAGAGAGAGGAGGGAGAGAGAGGAGAGAGAGGAGAAGAGAGAGGAGAGAGAGAGAGGAGGGAGAGGAGAGAGAGGAGAGAGAGAGAAGAGGGAGGGAGAGAGAGGAGAGAGAGAGGAGGGAGAGGAGAAGAGAGGAGAGAGAGAGAGGAGGGAGAGAGGAGAGAGAGAGAAGAGGGAGAGGAGAGATAGAGGAGGGAGAGGGGAGAAGAGAGAGGAGAGAGGAGAGAGGAGGGAAAGAAGAGAGAGGAGGTAAAGAAGATAGAGAAGAGAGAGGAGAGCGAGAAGAGAGAGAGGGAGAAGAGAGGGAGAGGAGCGAAGAGAGAGGAGAAGAGAGAGGAGAGAGAGAGAAGAGGGAGGGAGAGAGGAGGTAAAGAAGATAGAGAAGAGAGAAGAGAGAGAGAAGAGAGAAAAAAGTGAAGGGAGAGGGGAGAGAGAAAGAAGGGAGAAGAGAAAGAGAGAAGAGAAAGGAGTGAGAAGAGAGAGAGGAGGGAGAGGGGGTGCAGCCAGAGCAGACCTAAAACACAGGGAGAACTTCAAAGAGCTGAGACATGAGCACAGATTAGCAAAAGGAAAGAGAGCACACAGGTCAGAGCTGCTCAGGGGGGTTTCTCTTTTTACAGCGGGTCAGACACAGCTTGAGACGACAATAAAGACTTTTTAGTTGCAACGCTTTATTGACCAAATAAAGCGCGACCTGTCATGGAGGCTGGATCTACAGCCTCAGTCCTGGATCTACAGCCTCAGTCCTGGATCTACAGCCTCAGTCCTGGATCTACAGCCTCAGTCCTGGATCTACAGCCTCAGTCCTGGGTCTACAGCCTCAGTCCTGGATCTACAGCCTCAGTCCTGGATCTACAGCCTCAGTCCTGGATCTACAGCCTCAGTCCTGGGTCTACAGTCTCAGTCCTGGGTCTACAGCCTCAGTCCTGGATTTACAGCCTCAGTCCTGGGTCTACAGTCTCAGTCCTGGATCTACAGCCTCAGTCCTGGAACTACAGCCTCAGTCCTGGATCTACAGCCTCAGTCCTGGGTCTACAGTCTCAGTCCTGGGTCTACAGCCTCAGTCCTGGATTTACAGCCTCAGTCCTGGGTCTACAGTCTCAGTCCTGGATCTACAGCCTCAGTCCTGGATCTACAGCCTCAGTCCTGGATCTACAGCCTCAGTCCTGGGTCTACAGTCTCAGTCCTGGGTCTACAGCCTCAGTCCTGGATCTACAGCCTCAGTCCTGGATCTACAGCCTCAGTCCTGGGTCTACAGCCTCAGTCCTGGGTCTACAGCCTCAGTCCTGGGTCTACAGCCTCAGTCCTGGATCTACAGCCTCAGTCCTGGGTCTACAGTCTCAGTCCTGGGTCTACAGTCTCAGTCCTGGGTCTACAGCCTCAGTCCTGGGTCTACAGTCTCAGTCCTGGGTCTACAGCCTCAGTCCTGGGTCTACAGCCTCAGTCCTGGGTCTACAGCCTCAGTCCTGGGTCTACAGCCTCAGTCCTGGGTCTACAGTCTCAGTCCTGGGTCTACAGCCTCAGTCCTGGGTCTACAGCCTCAGTCCTGGGTCTACAGCCTCAGTCCTGGATCTACAGCCTCAGTCCTGGGTCTACAGTCTCAGTCCTGGGTCTACAGTCTCAGTCCTGGGTCTACAGCCTCAGTCCTGGGTCTACAGTCTCAGTCCTGGGTCTACAGCCTCAGTCCTGGATCTACAGCCTCAGTCCTGGATCTACAGCCTCAGTCCTGGATCCGTGGTCTGATGTGTGCGTGTAGCGGGGCTTCATACCGAGCTCATCGAAGTGAAGGACTGTGCAGTTGGACCGGTTCCAGGGACAGGAGAACACGGCTCCTCCTTCGGTGACGTGAGGTTGGCTCGTGTTGGCTTTGGGAGCGCCGACCAAAACTCTGGAACTGGAAGAGGGCAAAGAGGGCAGTCAGACACACGTAAAACCAAACTCAAAATCCAGCAGTTTGAAGGGTCTCATCTTGGTCAGGCCCAAGTTTAAAAACATAAACGTTTTGATCTCTCTCTCTTCTCTCTCTTCTCTCTCTTTCTTCTCCCTCCTCTCTCTCCTCTCTCTCCTCACTCTCCCCTCTCTCTCCTCCCTCTCTTCTCTCTCTCTTCTCCCTCCTCTCTCTACTCCCTCTCTTCTCTCTCTTTCTTCTCCCTCCTCTCTCTCCTCTTCTTCCTCACTCTCCCCTCTCTCTACTCCCTCTCTTCTCTCTCTTTCTTCTCCCTCCTCTCTCTCCTCTCCTTCCTCACTCTCCCCTCTCTCTACTCCCTCTCTTCTCTCTCTTTCTTCTCCCTCCTCTCTCTCCTCTCCTTCCTCACTCTCCCCTCTCTCTACTCCCTCTCTTCTCTCTCTTTCTTCTCCCTCCTCTCTCTCCTCTCCTTCCTCACTCTCTCCTTTCTCTCCTCCCTCTCTTCTCTCTCTTTCTTCTCCCTCCTCTCTCTCCTCTCCTTCCTCACTCTCCCCTTTCTCTCCTCCCTCTCTTCTCTCTCTTTCTTCTCCCTCCTCTCTCTCCTCTCCTTCCTCACTCTCCCCTCTCTCTCCTCCCTCTCTTCTCTCTCTCTTTCTCCCTCCTCTCTCTCCTCCCTCTCTTCTCTCTCTTTCTTCTCCCTCCTCTCTCTCCTCTCCTTCCTCACTCTCCCCTCTCTCTCCTCCCTCTCTTCTCTCTCTCTTCTCCCTCCTCTCTCTCCTCCCTCTCTTCTCTCTCTTTCTTCTCCCTCCTCTCTCTCCTCTCCTTCCTCACTCTCCCCTCTCTCTACTCCCTCTCTTCTCTCTCTCTTCTCCCTCCTCTCTCTCCTCCCTCTCTTCTCTCTCTTTCTTCTCCCTCCTCTCTCTCCTCTCCTTCCTCACTCTCCCCTCTCTCTCCTCCCTCTCTTCTCTCTCTTTCTTCTCCCTCCTCTCTCTCCTCTCCTTCCTCACTCTCCCCTTTCTCTCCTCCCTCTCTTCTCTCTCTTTCTTCTCCCTCCTCTCTCACCTCTCCTTCCTCACTCTCCCCTTTCTCTCCTCCCTCTCTTCTCTCTCTTTCTTCTCCCTCCTCTCTCTCCTCTCCTTCCTCACTCTCCCCTCTCTCTCCTCCCTCTCTTCTCTCTCTCTTCTCCCTCCTCTCTCTCCTCCCTCTCTTCTCTCTCTTTCTTCTCCCTCCTCTCTCTCCTCTCCTTCCTCACTCTCCCCTTTCTCTCCTCCCTCTCTTCTCTCTCTTTTTCTCCCTCCTCTCTCTCCTCGCCTTCCTCACTCTCCCCTTTCTCTCCTCCCTCTCTTCTCTCTCTTTCTTCTCCCTCCTCTCTCTCCTCTCCTTCCTCACTCTCCCCTCTCTCTCCTCCCTCTCTTCTCTCTCTTTCTTCTCCCTCCTCTCTCTCATCTCCTTCCTCACTCTCCTCTCTCTCTCTTCTCCCTCCTCTCTCCCCTCTCTCTCCTCACTCTCCCCTCTCTCTCCTCCATCTCTTCTCCCTCCTTCCCCTCTCTCTCTCTCCTCACTCTCCTCTCTCTTCTCTCTCCCCTCTCCCTCCTCTCTCTCTTGCATTAGCCCCATTCATTTTGACAAGTGCCTTCTGAAGTCCACAGCGGCTAAACTAGACTGGTCCAAAAATATATACTCCCCTCAGCATCGACAACATCTGGGCCAAGTGCCACTTTTGGACCAAGAGCCACTTTTGGACCAAGAGCCACTTTTGGACCAAGAACCACTTTTGGACCAAGAGCCACTTTTGGACCAAGAGCCACTTTTGGACCATCCTGTAAAACTGTTTTTGAGAGGAAAGAAGGCAACATACAAAACCATTGAGTAATTCTTATTCCGGGTCCACCCCCACAGGCCCGGAGTGGTATTGCAGACTGTTATTATTTACAGTCTATGAGGTAAAGCAGGGGTCTCCAACCTGTAGCTCGGGAGCCTCTTCCAGGTAGCTCGCCAAATGATTTAGAAATGAGTTAAAAAAAAACAAATAATAAACCGAATATTTCAGATTGTATTATTCATTATCATTATTTATTATTGTAAATGCACTTACTTTGTGCAATAGTAACAAATATGCAATGATAAATAATGACTGTACCCAAAATCAGACTTTTATCACCACATTTTTCACAGTAGCTCACTGCCTTTATCGACCCAGGAAAGTAGCTCTCTGGGTGAAAAAGGTTGGAGACCCCTGAGGTAAAGTGAGCAGTGTGAGGCAAAGGGACACAATACAACACTGTAAATCTGGGCAGTGCATGTGACCCGACTTAAAGATGTTGACGTAATTTACATTAACAATATCTGGTCGGCACGGTGGCGGCACGGTGGCGGCACGGTGGCGGCACGGTGGCGGCACGGTGGCGGCGGAGTGGATAGCACTCTCGCCTCTCAGCAAGAAGGTCCTGGGTTCGAATCCCGGCCGGACCAGGGCCTTTCTGAGTGGAGTTTGCATGTTCTCCCTGTGTCTGCGTAGGTTTCCTCCGGGTACTCCGGTTTCCCCTACCACTAAAAATATGTACAATAGGTCTGGGATGCGCCTCCTGCTCGGCGACCCCCACTCCTGTCTCTGTGTGGAGTGAGAGACAAGTGCCCAAAAAATAACAATTGTAAACCGCTTTGTGACTCTGGTCTGTGAAAGGCGGTATATAAATAAAGCTTACTTACTACTTACTTACTTACAATATGACGTACTGTCCCTTTAGAGATGAAACTCTTGAGAGTCCCTTGTCCTTGTGACTTTGTGGCTGCATTATTATGTGTTTGAATGAACTGTTCTTTCTCCTCTGAAGCGTCTTGGCTCAGAGATTAGATAAGATAAGATAAGATAAGATAAACCTTTATTAGTCTCACAGTGGAGAAATGTCAGTGTCATCGTTGCACATTACAGCAGAGAAAGGAAATAAGAGCACTCAGATTGCACACATCAAAGTCTATTATTTAAGATAATAGACAATAAGTTTAAGATAAAATAAAATAAGAAAATCTGGGCTACAATTGCACTTGGTTCGGAGTATTTACAGATGTCTATATTATACATTAGCAGCGGAGAATATGAGAATATGAGCAGAGTGGACAGTGAGATGTTGGTGACTGATGACATTTGCAGACAGACAGACGGCCTCCGCAGACGAGCAGCTGTGTTCAAATATCCCTCACTGTCTGAGCCTTTGTCCAAGTACAAGTTAACAACATTACATCTATCTCCTGTCGTTTATTTTCAGCGTTCGTAGTTAACAAAACTAAGTGAGAGCTCCATCCACACAAACTGAACGTTGCCCCAGAGCCTCGTGCTGCAGCTGCGAACATGCACAGATTATACACACATCTGTTTATTACCTGCACAGGATTATACTTATTTATTTTGGCTTCTTATTCTGCTGAAGTCAGAGGTGTTTGTGCTTAGGTAAAGAGAGAGATTTTATACTGCTTCTTTTTAATCTAGCGTTAAAGATTTAATTTGTATTTATTTTTATAGAGTTATTATTAATTTATCTTGTGCTGTGTGCTCCTCATTCCTTGACTCTGTAACTTGTGATGCAACACTGGAATTTCCCCTCTGTCGGACGAATAAAGGATCTTTTAATCTTTTAGTTTCCTTTCATTCTACACAGAGATGACAAAACAGTTTGTAGAGAGGCTAATGCTAAAGGCTAATGTTAAAGGCTAATGCTAAACGCTAGGCAAGGCAAGGCAAGGCAAGGCAAGGCAAGTTTATTTGTATAGCACAATTCATACACAAGGCAATTCAAAGTGCTGAACAGAACAAGAAAGCATTAAAATCATAAATAATCACAGTACATTAAAAAAAAAAAAAAAAAAAAAAAAAGATAAAAATATAAAATCCCTCAGTTGTAGCACAGCTAAACAGAACTGTTTTCAACCTTGTCTTAAACATTGTCAGAGAGGAGGCCTGTCTCACGCTAATGCTAAAGGCTAATGCAAACTGATGACAGTAGATAGTGACCAGTCCAAGACCAGTCCAAGACCAGTCTAAGACCAGTCTAAGACCAGTCCAAGGCCAGTCCAAGACCAGTCCAAGACCAGTCTAAGACCAGTCTAAGACCAGTCCAAAGCCAGTCCAAGATCAGTCCAAGACCAGTCCAAGACCAGTCCAAGACCAGTCTAAGACCAGTCTAAGACCAGTCCAAGGCCAGTCCAAGACCAGTCCAAGACCAGTCTAAGACCAGTCTAAGACCAGTCCAAGGCCAGTCCAAGATCAGTCCAAGACCAGTCCAAGACCAGTCCAAGACCAGTCCAAGATCAGTCCAAGACCAGTCCAAGACCAGTCCAAGGCCTGTCCAAGGCCTGTCCCAGATCAGTCCAAGACCAGTCCAATACCAGTCCAAGTCCAGTCCAAGGCCTGTCCAAGATCAGTCCAAGGCCAGTCCAAGACCAGTCCAAGTCCAGTCCAAGGCCTGTCCAAGATCAGTCCAAGGCCAGTCCAAGGCCAGTCCAAGGCCAATCCAAGGCCAGTCCAAGACCAGTCCAAGACCAGTCCAAGGCTAGTCCAAGACCAGTCCAAGACCAATCCAAGGCTAGTCCAAGACCAGTCCAAGGCTAGTCCAAGACCAGTCCAAGACCAGTCCAAGGCTAGTCCAAGACCAGTCCAAGACCAGTCAAAGTCCAAGGCCAGTCCAAGGCCAGTCCAAGGCCAGTCCAAGGCCAGTCCAAGGCCAATCCAAGATCAGTCCAAGACCAGTCTAAGACCAGTCCAAAGCCAGTCCAAGATCAGTCCAAGACCAGTCCAAGACCAGTCCAAGACCAGTCTAAGACCAGTCCAAGGCCAGTCCAAGACCAGTCCACGACCAGTCTAAGACCAGTCTAAGACCAGTCCAAGGCCAGTCCAAGATCAGTCCAAGACCAGTCCAAGACCAGTCCAAGACCAGTCCAAGATCAGTCCAAGACCAGTCCAAGACCAGTCCAAGGCCTGTCCAAGGCCTGTCCCAGATCAGTCCAAGACCAGTCCAATACCAGTCCAAGTCCAGTCCAAGGCCTGTCCAAGATCAGTCCAAGGCCAGTCCAAGACCAGTCCAAGTCCAGTCCAAGGCCTGTCCAAGATCAGTCCAAGGCCAGTCCAAGGCCAGTCCAAGGCCAATCCAAGGCCAGTCCAAGACCAGTCCAAGACCAGTCCAAGGCTAGTCCAAGACCAGTCCAAGACCAATCCAAGGCTAGTCCAAGACCAGTCCAAGGCTAGTCCAAGACCAGTCCAAGACCAGTCCAAGGCTAGTCCAAGACCAGTCCAAGACCAGTCAAAGTCCAAGGCCAGTCCAAGGCCAGTCCAAGGCCAGTCCAAGGCCAGTCCAAGGCCAATCCAAGATCAGTCCAAGACCAATCCTTTTGGCGCTCAAACTAAAGACAGATGTATTGATTGCTAGTTACTGTATGTCACTACATGTTATTAACCTCGTAGCTAACGTTCAATGTGATTAAATAAATGATCTATCTATCTACACAGACACGGGGAGAACATGCAAACTCCACACAAAAAGCTTGGACCTTCTCACTGTGAGGTCATTCAGCCACGGTGCCCTTTTTATCTCTATATCTCATCCTTGTGTTTGGAATGAACCAGGAAGTACAGAGCACACAAACACACGCAGACAACAGTCAATTCTATGTATTTGTGTATAACCCTAAATCACAACAGTACTTTATAAAAACAGGACTTTATAAAAACACAGACCAGAGAATCAATCAATTAAAAAACCACATATAGCAGAGACCAATATCCATAAGTGTTAATAAAATCCATTAATCACATTTTTAAACTCTGATCTATGCATTTATATCCTCCACACTGTAAAAAATACAACTCAAAATTGTTCACCTTACTAAGATTTTTGCATTCACTGACAATAAAATTTCCAGTTGGAACTGCAACTGTCTGTTGTGAGCCACTTGAACTCACTTTCAGAAGTTTCTGATGAAAAGTTCATCTTATTTGATATATTCAGTTGATTTTACTTTGAAGTTGTAATGAACTTCTTAGTTGGCAGAACTTGGAAAACTTAGCTGAGACAACTTAATAAGTGTAGTTCTTCAAAACGTGAAGAATTAAGTTAATGCCTTCAACTCAAAAATCCTTCGCAGCTGGTTGCTTTGAAATTTTGAGTTGAACTAACTTTTTCTTTTTTACAGTGCAGACTCGACTTCTGCAACAGTCTTTTATACGCCCTTCCTTCATCAAATCTACGAAAACTGCACAACGTCCAAAAGCGCCCGCCTCATCACTCAGACCAGACCAGAGAACACATCACCCCAGTCCTTAAAGAACTCCACTGGCTCCTTATCAACAGATTTTGCACTTAATTCTTGCTACTTCATGATGCTAAAGTCGGAGATTAGTTGTATTAAATTCAATTCAATTCCATTTTTTCTCGTATCGCCCTAAATCACAACAG